GGATTATATATCTTACTGTTCTTTATTTTTATTTATGTATATATATATATATATATATATATATATATATATATATATATATATATATATATATATATATATATATGTGTGTGTGTGTGTCTAACGATTGCATATAGCATGAAACAGACTGTCGCCTCTAGTGTTGACTTCTATGTTCACTTTTATATTTACACGCTCTATCTCTGATATTGAGCACTTTATCCCATAAATATAGCACACCTTAAGACTATATTTCTTTATATATATATATATATATATATATATATATATATATATATATATATATATATATATATATAACAAATATATGGATATAAATCCGACAGTATGAAGAAAATATACTGAAAAAACAAAACAAAAATCTAATATGCGATTATGCTGTTTTAATGTTTAATGTCAACGTCGGACGTTTCGGTCTAATAGACCATCTTCAGGACATATTCATAAAACATAATTAACATAGACCATATACAATACGTTTTCACAACATCGCCCACGTGACGACGACGTGATCATATTTAAACGGAACGCTGATCTTATAAAAGATTTCTGTTTGGATTGGTATTGCTTTTATGTCCATCGTCTTTTTCATGTTGAATTGTATATGGTCTATGTTAATTATGTTTTATGAATATATCCTGTCTATATATATATCCATTTTCTGCATGCCCGTTCATTTATCTATCTGTACGTTTATCTATTTATCTATCTTTCTGTTCATATATATATCTATCTGATCATATATCTGTGCATTTATCTATCTGTCTGTCTGTCCCCCCCTCTCTCTCTTTCTCTCTCTCTCTCTCTCTATATATATATATATAGAGAGATAGAAATCTTTATATATATATATATATATATATATATATATATATGTGTGTGTGTGTGTGTGTGTGTGTGTGTGTGTGTGTGTGTGTGTGTGTGTGTATTAAATATCAGGTCAGGTGAATCTTCTACATTGGTTTCAACCTTACGGTATCCTCAGGCGATTTTTATCAAATGACCACCGAACCCTTTTTCATATTTCAAAATTAAATAAACAAACACATGACGTTGAGTGTAATAGAAAGGGAGGAGGAGGATGCGAAGAAGAAGAAGAAGAACAAGAAGAAGAAAAATTTACCGATATGTAAGCAAGGACTTAAGACTTTGGATTTCGGTTTAAAAGTTTCTTTGGATCCATAAATGTCATAATCACTAATTTGTTCCTGTTGGCGGAAGTTGCAATTATTATAGTGATTGTTGTACGATTTTGCCTTTTTAAAAATGTTCCACCTTACAAACGGATCCCCGTTGTGTTTTTCTTTTAAATTGCACACATGGTCAACCAGTTTGGTAGAGTAGATACCAAATTACTCTAAAGTAAAGCTGAGGCTATTTAATCTCAGAATTCGTAGGGGGGGGATTGAGCGCCAATTTCGCGTTTATTCATATAGATTCCATAATATAGGTTTTACTTAATTAGCTCTTATGTTTCTCTAACACTTCATATGTTGAATGTATAACTAATTCTAATTTCTATTTTACCATCTTTACACTATATTAATTTTGTCTTATAAATTATCTCCTGTTCTGTCAGCCATGAAATAAAAATAATTGTTTGTACGGAAAATAAGGATCTGCCTACATCAAATCGGCTTTAGATTTAGTGGTAGCAGAAGAATTATCGTTGAACTTTTAAAAGGTAAGCTTAAACATTAATTCAATACTTAAATGCAGCGATCAATGTTGTGTTCTTCTGTTGTTTATTGAAGACTATTGGCTATTGTGATGATGGCCAAACTAAGAGTCCTCCACCGGAACTACCTTAAAAGACGTCTGATAGGGCGGCTTTTATGCTAGTTTATAATAAACCGAGCACTGCAGTTTTGGATACGAAAGGAAGAGCTACTCCCCTTGAACCATGAAAGCAATGATAATGACTAGTATAATATATTAATATATATTTAAACCTAGCATAATCTGGCAACCCTGAATCTGAGCACAACGAAAATCATCCCCTGGGCTTAACTTTTCTAGGGCTTTTGAATGAGCTATGAATCATTGAAATCGGAACAGCGGCGGAATTGCTTGGACACACAGACGCACAAACACACACACATACAGTGTACTTTTATATATAAGATTCAGGCAGACGACGAAAATGGTCGTCTGTTTTTTTTGTGTTTTTTTTTTGTAGGGTTTTCTTTTATAAGCTAGGGTATTTTCTACATGCAAGAAACGGTAGGAAATTCTTGAATTGTTGAAGAAGCACAGGCAATTGTTTACAAATCAGTAACGGATTTGGCCGCTTCATGGGGGGGTGGAGCTGATCTGGTGAAAAACTAGCATGGCGATGATGGACGAGTTATAGTAATGCATTAAAGTTTCAAACGTCTCTTGCATAATTGTCTCAAGCCTCCAGGTCGTGGTTGCAGAAAACGATTCTTAGAATCAGCTAAATAAAGCGGGTTTTGCAATTTTGGATACAAAAGGACAATAAGAGTTAATCCCTTGAAACATGAAAGCAAAAATAACGGCTAGTATAATATATTAATATATATTTTTAACCTCGCATAATCTGGTAATCCTGAATCTGAGCTCAATGAAAATCGTTCCCTTCGCCTAACTTTTCGAGGGCTTTTGAATGAGCCATGAATCATTGAAATCGGACCAGTGGGAGCGGAGGAGTTGCTTGGACACACACACATACACTGTACTTTATATATAAGATGTAGACAGTTTAAATTAGTTCAAGTCTGGCAAGAGGCTGTGTTTGTTGGCGATTACCGGGAGATGTTGCTACGACTTGCGAAACCAGAACTTGCATCATTAGACTTAGACAACTGCTCTTTTTACTATTTGTCGTGTGTTTCTCCTACCCACTCTTAACCGAGCCTTTTAGGAACCTACCCTCGTATTCAACATCTGACTATCCAAAGAAGCACAGGAAATTGTTTACAAATCAGTAACGGGTTTGGCCGCTTCATGGGGAGGGGGGGTGGAGCTGCTCTGGTGAAAAACTAGCATGGCGATGATGGACGAGTTATAGTAATACATTAAAGTTTCAAACGTCTCTTGCATAATTGTCTCAAGCCTTCAGGTTGTGGTTGCAGAAAACGATTCTTAGAATCAGCTAAAAAGAATATGATACTATTTCAGTCGTAACTGATTTGAGCTCAGGAATAGTCTTAAATATATGTTCTATAAAAAACAATGAGAGAGTTAAAAATTCAAAATTGTGCTTCCTCGTTTGATGGCGATGATAATAATTAAGTTTTCAAACAAAAAGGTTATTAACGCTAATCATGTCAGAAATATACATATATATATATATATATATATATATATATATATATATATATATATATATAATAAAAAGGCTTAAACACTAATATTCCATGGTCATAATTTATTCCATTGGAAGCGTAAATATGATCCAAATCATCAATTTTTTTTTTTTTTTTCTGAAAATATACATGTATGGAAATTTTTTATATATATTTTGCATATGTATGTATATTTTCCACTAATATCTCTCTCTCTATATATATATATATATATATATATATATATTTAAAAATATGATTCCAACACGCTACATAAGAGTTCTCATGTTTCAAAACAAGAGCTGAAAACTTCAATATAATTATTTGAATTAAATTGAATTAAAGTAATAAGCTCTGTTCCATCTTCAAGCGAAATTTTTTGGGGAATGACTTATTTCAGAAATTTACGTGTTTTATAAGCATATTCATTATTAAAATCAAAATTTCTATGGTAACGGCTAGAGCAATTGTTTAAAGAAAAGAGGCCGTAAGGTGTTAATAATTTGTATCAATATCTCAGTTACATTCAAAAACGTCAAGTCAGGGTAAGGTTGGGGTGTCTAAATTTAAAGCGGAAGAAGACATCGTCTAGTCTGGTTAAGCGTCTATGGAGATTTATTTTTTTATTTTATTTTTTATTTTTTTCTGAAAGGATTTTGTGTATATAAAAACATTTGTTTTTTGACGACTTTTATCTTTTTTGGTAGGGCATTTAAACTATTTATTAGGACTATGGATTTTAAGAATTATTTTATTGTTTGTTTGTTTTTATGCTAATTATTCAATGCAAAAATTTGATGATGTCGGCAAAAAACCGTTAACTCATGTCTATTGTTTAATATATATATATATATATATATATATATATAGGATTGATGTATACGGAATAAATTCCAATAACCAACAAATACAATTCTTAAAAGGGTGCTCAGTACAGAGTAGAGCAAATATAATCATTTATTCTAAAATTATAACATAAAAATGTTATAAAATCACTAGATTTTGGGGGGGGTTTGTCTAATTGAACAAGAGTTAACATTTCAAATATAAGTCAATGTTAATTTTCAACCGTTTTTAACTTCCGTCTAGCCTTGTATGTATATGCAGTCATCCTGTTTCCTCCCCGTTTCTTGTATCCCCCTCACTACTTTGGTTTTTCCTTCCCCCTTTTGACTCTCTATCTCCCTTTAAAACGACTGTTACCTTATTTATAGTTTTTTGTTTCCTTTTTCTTCCTATTGCTTTTAATTAAAAAAAAACATTATGATTCAATTTTTATAAAACGTTTTGGTATTGACAAGCTCCATGGAATGTCTTGAGGAGCGAAATGGCCATCTAAATGGGATACACTTGAATTTCATTTATATGTAATCCATTTATATGCTCAGTAATAAATACATTGAGCTCTCTTTTGTGGATCAGTTTTAATATTTTATATTATTAGAATTCACTTGGATTACTTACCCATGGATTTTTACCTTTTATATATATATATATATATATATATATATATATATATATATATATATATATATATATATATATATATATAATAAAAATGGCTTAAACACTAATATTCCATGGTCATAATTTCCATTAGAATCGTAAATACGATACAACTTATCAGACCTACTAATTCAAACAAATTTTTTGAATTTGTGGGTCTGATGAACGTATTTGTGATTCCAATAGAACAATTATAACAATGGAATATTAGTGTTTAGTTTTCCTTTTATTATATCCTTACCTGTCCTGGACATTGAGTTCTACCTGGATTCTATCCTCTAGGAATTTTTTTATACAAAAATATATATGTATGTGCATGTATATATATTTGCATAGGTATGTGTATATTTTCCACTATTATCTCTCTCTCTCTCTCTCTCTCTCTCTCTCTATATATATATATATATATATATATATATATATATACCACAACATCCTTGAGCGCTTAGCCTTGGGCAGGTAGAATGGAGATCAACGTGTTTCAGTGAACACAGCAGTTTTCAATCTGTTGTTCGAATCATCTTCAGAAGCGAGAGCAAGAACTAAAAGGTCAGCCAATCTAACATGATCTCATCGGAATCCTCCTCTTGCTCATATGTGGCCTCCTTTGCAAATCACTAACGGGTCTTAAATTGCATTAAGATTATCGCACAAAAAATTCCATAACTGCTCTCAACTAAGCTGTCAGATCGTCATACGTTGAAACCGACGGGAGAGTCCATATATATACACACACACACACACACACACACACATATATATATATATATATATATATATATATATATATATATATTATCCCACAATAAAATCCAAAATTACCTAATATAGGAGGGATAGATCTGTTTAAACCGGCGAAAAAATCGTCAGTCTTATTCAACCCCGGTATATAGACAGAGTTCGTGTCGGAATTAGAAATTAACTGTGACTGATATCAAAAAATTAATACCGAATTTATCCATTCCAATGTTTCAGTCAGACGAACAGCACGAGACAGTGGTCAGGGAAGGGTGAAAGGGAAGTGGTTTTATAAAATTAAAACCGATTATTGATATATCACATTAAATTGAAGTTATATGAAGAATGTAGCGTTAATTGGAAACTAAAAGAGAACCGAGAAAGGAAGTTTTTTTTTGTTTTTTTTTAAAAGCTTGTATAGATAAGTTTAGGTTTAAAAATGCCACTTTTATACCACTTAAAAATACTCTTCCAATGATAAATTATACTTAGAAATAAAATATATTTAGCAAATTTAAAATAAGTCATATTTAACGTAAAAAATGTTAATCGCTTAACAATCCGGAATACTTTCTTTCATTCTTTCTTTCTACACTGGTTTTCTTTTTCTTTTTTTTTTCTTTCTTTTTTGGGCAGATTTTCTTTCTTTCATTCTTTCTTTGTGCACCGATTGTTTTCCTTTCTTTATTTCTTTATACGCTGAATTTGTTTCTGCCATTCTTCTTTTCTTTATCATTCTTTTGATATCAATTTTCATTCTTTCATTTTTACATTTTTTCTGTTATCTTTCTGCCTTCCTATGCTGATTTCCTTCCTTCCTTCCATCCTTCCTTCCTTCCTTCCTTCCTTCCTTCCTTCCTTCCTTCCTTCTTCCTTCTTCCTTCCTTCCTTCTTCCTTCTCTTCCCTTCTTTCTTTCTTTCTTTCTTTCTTTCTTCCTTCCTTCCTTCCTTCCTTCCTCTCTTCCTTCCTTCCTTACTTTTTTCTTCTTTCCTCTCTTCCTTCCTTCCTTCCTTGCTTCCTTCCTTCTTTCCTTCCTTCATTCCTTTCTTCCTTCCTTCCTCTCTTCATTCCTTTCTTCCTTTCTTCCTTCCTATGCCGATTTTCTTTCTTTGGCCGCTAATTTTATTTCCATCATTCTTACATTCTTTCGGTTTTCTTTCTTTCTCTCTTTCTTTCCTTTCTTTCTTTCTTTCTTTCTTTCTTTCTTTCTTTCTTTCTTTCTCCTCTGTTCCTATTCTTTCTTTCTTTCTTTCTTTCTATGCCGATATTCTTTCTTTCTTTGTTCATTTCATTTTTTCATTTTTCTTTTTCTCTCTTTTTTCTTTCTTTCTTTGCCGATTTTCTTTGTTCCGTCCATTCTTTCTTTCTTTCTTTCTTTCCTTCTTTCTTTCTTTGTATAACGTTTTTTGCATCCTCCGCCATTTTTTCTTTCATTCTTACATTCTTTCTTTTTTCAGAATGCCTATTTTTTTTCTCCTTCTTTCTTTCGTTTTTATTTTTTCTATGCCGATTTCTTTCTTTTTTCTTTCTTTCTTTCTTTCTTTCTTTATTTATTTATTTATTATTTTTTCTTGATATGCCGATTTTCTTTCTTTCTTTCTTTCTTTCTTTCTTTCTTTCTACACTGATATTCTTACTTTCTATGCCGATTTTCTTTTATTCTTTATTTATTTATTTCAATGCCGATGCCGTTTATTTATGATGGGGATGATGATGGAAAATTTTCTGAAATCTTTGGGACGAAAAGTCATTAACAATAATTGTTTCCAAGAATCATATATATTACGATAAGATCTAACTACCCACCCGATTCTATTCACAAGGCTTGTGTCAACCCGTAGAGTGGTCTTCTAGTTCTTAAACGCTGCCGCACGCTGAGATCCTCTACCCAGATTGATTACATGAAGGGGTGACAAATCGAACATTATAGAATTCATGAATTATGACCTCTTTTTAAGCTGTATACAAAATAATTTTCATGTCTGAAGATGACTGAATGTACAGTTGAAAGTACTTGCGTTACTTTCAACTTTACATTCAGTCATCTTCAGGCATGAAAATTATTTTGTTTTTGATAAAATTCAAATAGCATCTGAGACGAAAAAATATAATGCGAATCGAAATATTTTTTTTTTAAATGTGTTATTGTTAACAGATACAAACTTTTGGAGCGGGGCAGTCGCAACGCTAAGATTGTATTTTTTTTAATTTAAGTGACTGTTTTTTTTCTTTTTTTTTACTGCTATATCAGTTTGATTTAATTTTACTAATCTATTTTTTGTATAAATGATTTATTTATATATATATATATATATATATATATATATATATATATATATATATATATATATATATATATATATATATACATGTTTCATTAAATAATATAGACATTTGTTGTGTATTTATTTTATGTAAATTCTTTTCATAACGTGTGATAAGTTGTTTAATAACATTATCATTAAACGAAGAAAGAAAATTACAATTTTGATCCATATTTTTTAATCCAATCTAAGCTTTCGGCTTACATAAGCCATTATCAAAGATGACAATTACTGTACAATATTTTAAGCAAAAAAAAACAGTTTACAAATTCAAGTGCCCTTTGGGAGATTTTATCTCCTACGAATTAAATAATATTTATGTTGGTCACACCACAAACTTACTTTCACGACCCTTGACACTACATTTGAATGAATACTCTAACATTTTTAGGCATTTAAAAGAAGATGCCTATCCGAACACACAATTCCGTAAAATCCTTGTCGAAAACATAATTATACTCAAACATGAAAACAATAAACAAAAACTAAAACTTCTTGAAGCTATGTACATAAAACAGTTGAATCCTAACCTAAACAAAATAAACTATGTAATCTCCACAAATATCCTTAAATGTCTATCATTGGTAACAGAAACCATTGGTTTATACCAATGGCTTCCCATACTTAATACTTCTCGAATTCACTCTCGCGTGGTCATGTGTGACGTCATGAGCTGCGGTGCTATTTTCGCTTCCAGCGTCTTATATGCACGTGCTTATCGTTGCTTGGAAATCATCCATGTAAACAGAAACGGACTATCATCACTTTCTTGTCCGTATATTGCGTAGTTAGTATAGTACTTAGATGGGGAACCATATGAGAACAGTGGATAATGAAGGCAACCAACAATCCAAAATATATCTAGGCTTTAAACAATCCACAAAGGGTTGACAATGCGTAAAAAACAAATCAACGCCAAGTCCTTAGTGTAGCGGGGTGGTTTCCCAAAGTAGGCGGTATCTGAAGTGGGTGGAAAACCCATATAGCGCTGAGGACAAGGGTGCGGCTGGGTGGTATTAAAACTAAGTTATATATATTTTTTTTTTTTTTTTATTTTATAATTTTATACTTATATATATATATATATATATATATATATATGAAAAAACATATAGTTTTAAGGTGTGTTATATTTATGGGATAAAGTGATCAACATCAGACTTAGAGCGTATGTAAATATAAATATAAATGTGAACATTAAAGTCAACACTCCAGGGCGACAGGCTGTTTCAGGCTAGGCTTATATATTGAATCTTTGGCCTGTGATTCACGGCCTGACAGCATGAATCAGCCTCTCGCCTCTGAATGACTTAACCACTTATATATATATATATATATGTATATATATATATATATATATATATATATATATATAACTTTCTGTTGGCACAGTTAAATATTTATGCATACTGTATAGAAAAGCATAGAAATACACGAGTTTATTAGATCTACATATTTTGACAGAGAGAGGGGGAAGAGAGAGGAAGATGGGAAAATATGACTGAGATAGATAGATAGATAGATAGATAGATAGATAGATAGATAGAAACAGACTGAGATAGATAGATGATAGATAGATAGATAGATAGATAGATAGATAGATAGATAGATAGAAATAAAACAGACTGAGATAGATAGATAGACAGAAAGAAACAGACTGAGATAGAAACAGACTGAGATAGATAGCTAGATAGATAGATAGATAGATAGATAGATAGATAGACATACCTAATATAGTTATATATTTTCTACATCTATAATGTGCATGCCTCCACATTTTTTTTTTTTTTTTCTGGTGGGGGTCCATCGTGTATCTGTGGACAACTGCTAAGTACCCGAGGGTAACGAAATATTGTGATAAAGGAAGGAAGAAGACGCCATATTTGGTGTGTCTGCATTACGTCCGCCTGACCACACTGAGGCGGGAAGATACAATTAGAAATAAGCAGCGCCGAATTGTAATGTCAGAAAAGGAAATTGAAAGCTTCGAGGCGAAAAAGCGTAGGGTTGGTACTGAAGAAAATATTTTGAATTAGAAATGAAAAATTGATGGAAAATAATAAAAATGAAGGGAAAAAAGAAAGAGAAAGAGAAAGAGAAATGAGAGAGAGGGGGAGAAGTGGTAGGAAAAAGAGAAGAAAAAAGAAAATGAATAAATAAATAAATAAAGAAAGAAAGAAGAATGAATTAGAGTCTGTCTATATTTCTGAGATGAGGTATTATGTACATTATTTACATTATTCGGACTATTGTCCTCATCTTTTTCGCCATATCTATCACAACATTTCGTCTGTTGTACGCTCCGGCCTTTTTCAAGGACACATGGCACAGTGGATAAAGGCGTTGGTTAGATCCAATGACAGGACCCAAAGAGTGTGAGTTCAATACCCGGTTAAGGCAGTGGAGAACTTTCAGAGGGAAATTAACAGGAGATAACTGATAACTGACAGCCATTAAAATATGGCACGTGGAACTAGAACAGTCTACCCCAGTGTGCGAAATAAAGGGTTCAGTTCGACATTCCAACCACCTGATGAAGGCCGGAGCGTACAACGTACGAAACGTTGTGATAGATATGGCGAAAAAGATGGGGACAATAGTCTGAATAATGTAAATAATGTAGGAATGAATTACTGATAAAAAGGGATAAAAAATAAGAGGAAGAAGGAGGAATTAATGAGACAAAAAGCAGGAAATGAAAGAGAAAAGAAAGGATTGAATGTAGAAAGAGAAAAGAAGAAAGAAAATGAGGAGGAAGATAGAAAGACAAGAAAAGAGAAATGAAGAAAGAACACGAGAAAAAAAAAAATATATATATATATATATATATATATATATATAATGAAAAGAAAGAAATAATGAAGAAAACCAAAGCCTAAGTATATAAAAAGGGAAAGAAAAAGGGAGGGACAATATGAAAACTGCGAAGAATAAGGAGACTTCATGAAATGGGAGACAAAGAGAAATAAAGAAAGACACCGAAAATTAAGGAATGAAGAAGAGAAGAAGAGAAGAGAAATGAAGATAATGGAAAGAAAGAAAGAAAGAAAGAAAGAAAGAAAGAAAGAAAGAAAGAAAGAAATATTGAAGGAATGAAATCAAGAAAACGGAAGAGAGATGAAGAAAGAGATGAGGAAGGAATGAAATCGAAATAAGGAGAAGAGAAATGAAGAACGAAAGAGAATTAGACGGAATTAAATCGATATAAAGTAAAGAGAAATGAAGAAAGAAAGAAAGAAAAGAAGTGAAGGGAATTAAATCGAGATGAAGGGAAGAGAAAGGAAGACAAACAGTGAAGAAGGAAGGAAATCGTGTTAAAAATCGGAGAAATGAAGAAAGAGACAGAAAATGAAGGAATGAAAACGAGATAAAGATAAAGGAAATGAAGAAAGAAAGAAAGAAAAAAGAAAGAAAGAAAGAAAAAAGAAAGAAAGAAAAGTTGAAGGAATGAGATTGAGAAAATGGAAGAGAAATGAAGAAAGAAAAATGTTGAAGGAATGAAATCGAGATAAAAAAAAAGATGGAAGAAGTAAGAAAAGTTGAATGAATGAAATCGACAAAAAGAGAAATGAAAAAAGAAAGAAAATTAGACGGAATGAAATCGATATAAAGAGATGTGAAATGAAGAAAGAAAAGTTGAAGGAATGAAATCGAGAAAGCGGAAGAGAGATGAAGAAAAAAAGAGATGAGGAAGGAATGAAATCGAAATAAAGAGAAGAGAAATGAAGAACGAAAGAGAAGTTGAATGAATGAAATCGAGATAAACAAAAGAGAAATAAAGAAAGAAAGAGAAGTGGAGGGAATGAAATCGAGATAAAGGGAAGAGAAAGGAAGACAAAAAAGAGAAGAAGGAAGGAAATTGTGTTAAAAAGAAGAGAAATGAAGAAAGAGACAGAAAATGAAGGAATGAAAACGAGATGAAAAGAAGAGAAACAAAAGAAAGAGAAGTTGAAGGAATGAAATTATGATGAAGAGAAGAGAAATGAAGAAAGAAATAGATGTTGAAGGAATGAAATTGTGAAGAAGAGAAATGAAGAAAGAAAGAGTTGAAGAAAGAAAGAGAAGTTGAATGTATGAAGTTGAAATAAAGAGAAGAGAATGAAGAAAAAAAAAAATCAGAAGGAAAGAAATACAGATAAAGAGAAGAAATTAAGAAAGAAAAACTTGAAGGAATGAAAACGAGATAAAGATAATGGAAAGAAAGAAAGAAAGAATAGGAACAGAGAAGAAAGAAAGAAAGAAAGAAAGAAAGAAAGAAAGAATAGGAACAGAGAAGAAGAAAGAAAGAAAGAAAGAAAAAAGAAAAGAAAGAAAGAAGAAAGAAAGAAAGAAAAGAAAGAAAGAAAGAAAGAAAGAAAGAATAGGAACAGAGAAGAAAGAAAGAAAGAAAGAAAGAAAGAATAGGAACAGAGAAGAAAGAAAGAAAGAAAGAAAGAAAGAAAGAAAGAATAGGAACAGAGAAGAAAGAAAGAAAGAAAGAAAGAAAGAAAGAAAGAAAGAAAGAAAGAATAGGAACAGAGAAGAAAGAAAGAAAGAAAGAAAGAAAAGAAGAAAGAAAGAAAGAAAGAAAGAAAGAAAGAAAGAAAGAAGAGAAAGAAAGAAAAAAGAAAGAAAAGTTGAAGGAATGAAATTGAGAAAATGAAAGAGAGATGAAGAAATAAAAATGTTGAATGAATGAAATCGAGATAAAAGAAAGAGAAATGGAGAAAGAAAGAGTAGTGGAAGGAATGAAATCGTGATAAAGGGAAGTGAAAGGAAGACAAAAAAGAAATGAAGAAAGAGACAGAAAATGAAGGAATGAAAACGAGATAAAAAGAAGAGAAACATGAGAAGAAAGAGAAGTTGAAAGAATGAAATTTTGATAAAGAGAAGAGAAATGAAGAAAGAAATACAAGTTGAATGAATGAAATCGAAATAATGAGATGAAAAATAAAGAACGAAAGCGAGGTTGAAGGAATTGAATGGAGACAAAGAGAAGAGAGTTGAAGGAAGAAAGAGAAGTTGAATGTATGAAGTTGAAATAAAGAGAAGAGAATGAAGAAAAAAAGAGAATTAGAAGGAAAGAAATCGAGATAAAGAAAGAAAGAAAGTTGAAGGAATGAAATTGAGAAAACGGAAAAGAAATGAAGAAAGAAAGAGAATTAGACGGAATGAAATCGATATGAAGAGATGTGAAATGAAGAAAGAAAGAAAGAAAGAAAGAAAGAAAGAAAGAAGGAATGAAATCGAGAAAACGGAAGAGAGATGAAGAAAAAAAGAGATGAGGAAGGAATGAAATCGAAATAAAGAGAAGAGAAATGAAGAAAGAATGAAAAGTTGAACGAATGAAATTGAGATAAAGAGAAGAGAAATGAAGAAGAAAGAAAAGTAAAAGGAATTAAATCGTGATAATGAAAAGAGAAATGAAGAAAGAGGAGTAGTAATTAATGAATAAAAAATAAGAAAAGTGAGAGAGAGAGATGGAAGGTAAGAAATAAAAATGAAAGAAAAGAGAAGAAAAGAAATACGAAGTAAGAAAATGAAGAAGAAACAAGAAAAAGCAAAGAAAACAGTAAAAACTAAAAGAGAAAGAAATAAAATATAGAAAAAGGGAATAAAAAAAAAAAAAAGAAAGTAAATTAAAGATTATTAAAATTCAAGAACTAAGGAATATAGAAGAAAATATAGAATAATGAAAGAAAAGTGTAAGGAAAGGCCAAAGAAGAAAGAGAGAAGAAAAAAAAAAACGAGGAGGAAAGTCAACTTCTACTTAGAATGGGAAATCGAAAGAAAGAGAAGAAACGAAAAAGGAAGGGAGAAAGAAATTATGAAAAGGAATGTGAGAATAGAAGAAGAAAAAGAAAATGAAACGATGGAGAAAAATAGAATGAGAAGCAGACAGGATAAATGAACGTTTGAAATAAAGCATCATCATCTCCATCATCAGCATCATTAATAAACGAAGAAAGAGAAAAGAAGAAGAAAGAGAAAGAGACTAAAGAGATAGATAGATAGATAGATAGATAGATAGATAGATAGATAGATGTGAAGAGACTGAAGAGATAGATAGATAGATGTGAAGAGACTGAGATAGATAGATAGATAGATAGATAGGATAGATAGATAGAGATGAAGAAACAAACTGAATTTTAGTTAGCTAGCTAGCTAACTAGACTAATAGATAGATAGATAGATATGAAGAGACTGAAGAGATAGATAGATAGATAGATAGATAGATAGATAGATAGGTAGGTAGGTAGGTAGATGTGAAGAGACTGAATAGATAGATAGATAGATAGATAGATAGATAGATAGATAGATAAGAAAAAAGAAAGAAAGAAATGCAAAAGAAAAATGTTTTTTCTCTTTGTAGATAGATAAGTGAATAGACGGAGATAGATATAGATATAAAGAATGTCCGAAAGAAAGATGAAGAAATGAAAAGAAAGAGAAAAGAAAAAAAGCATTATTGCAGATAATTCCACAGACTGAGATAGATAGATAGATAGATAAATAGATAGATAGAAAGAAAGAAAGAAAGAAAGAAAGAAAAATAAAAATGTTTTTTCTTTCGTATACAGTCTTACTAATCTTTGCCTTACGAGTAAAATCTGTAAAATCGACATTATTTAAGATTTAAAATCTGTTGATACATTTTCCGTGTCATAAATCTTGCAAACGCTTTTAAAAACTTAATTATACAACCTGAGATTGGACTTTTCTTTTTCCACAGAATCAATCAAGCTGAAGATTTTCGTCAAATGTCTCGATAATCAATCGCTTGTCATAAACAATTCGTTTCTTTTCTATTGTCTCAGTCTTCCTCTGTCCTCCACCTAGCGTTACGCAGCTTACAGACAATATGGCGTCGCTTTAAGAATTTATAATTCGGATTAGGCCAACTGCAAATCACCACTGGTGAAAGAAATCATGGAACTTGATTCAATATTCATGTACCGTCGCACGTCTGCAAGACCCAGCAAGTAATTATGCCACTTTGTTTTTGTCTGGGCTTTATTTCTCCATATTATTTAGACCGGTGTTAGCTCCATTAGCATATTGTGAGAAGCAACCATTGTTACGGCCACTGATTAGGTTGTTCAGAAATAAAACTCGTTTTTTTTTGTTTTTGTTTTTTTTATAAGACAACATACACTACATTCCGATTTCTTGCTTCCCTTATAACTACAATCTACCCCAAAATTTAAATTCAACGTCAATCGCCATTATCTGTCTGTATTTCTGAGATGAGGTATTATGTACACCATTTACATTATTCGACTACTATCCTCTTCTTTGTCGCCATGTTTATCACAACGTTTCGGCCGTGGTACGCTCCGGCCTTCTTCGGGTGGTTCGAATGTCGAATTCGGCCGTTGTACGCTCCGGCCTTCTTCAGGTGGTTGGAATGTCGAATTCGGCCGTTGTACGCTCCGGCCTTCTTCAGGTGGTTGGAATGTCGAATTCGGCCGTTGTACGCTCCGGCCTTCTTCAGGTGGTTGAATGTCGAATTCATTGGGTGTACGCTCCGGCCTTCTTCAGGTGGTTGGAATGTCGAATTTGGTTGTTGACGCTCCAGCCTTCTTCAGGTGGCTGGAATGTCGAACTGAACACTTTCCAACCACCTGAAGAAGGCCGGAGCGTAGAACGGCCGAAACCTTGTGATAAACATGGCGTTATGAATTAGGGCGTATTATACATGGGGAACTATGGTAACTAGAAATGCTTCTATCAAACGTAAGAACGCCGGAATTAAAAACCAGTTGAGTCAATAAACACAGAACAATCCCTGAAAACGAATGGAGCAACATTCGAAAGTCCTTGGGGGTAAAATAATATGAAATAAATATAAACTTTGGCAAATTTACAGATAACACAAAACAACACATTCGGAAATTAAAAAAAAAAAATAATAAAACAAATTGACAGACATAATTTGTCTATATTATTTAGCCAAACATGTTTAAGAGAACACTATTTACATTATTCGGACTATTGTCCTCATCTTTGTCGCCATATTTATTACAAAGTTTCGGCCGTTGTACACTCCGGCCTTCTTCAGAAATGCTGAACCGAACCCTTTATTTCGCTCACTGGAGTAGACTGTTCTAGTTCCACGTGTCATGTATAATGGATGTCAGTTATCAGTTATCTCCTGTTAATTCCCCTCTCCAATTTCTCCACCACCTTAACCGGGTATTGAACTCACACTCTTTGGGTCATGTCATTGGATCTAACTAACGCCTTTATCCACTGTGCCATGTGTCGAAACGTTGTAATACATATGGCAACAAAGATGATAAACAATAGTCCGAATAATGCAATCTCAGAAATATATATATATATTAAAGACATTTTTTATAGATACAAGTATTTAAGTAAATGCTCTGTTTATAATATATACATTTATATGAATGTCCAAAGAAAATTTTATATATATTCGAACCTGCATATATACGGAACCGTATATATGAAATATATATATATATATATATATATATATATTTTGTTTATATATATATATATATCATGGAAGATTAGTTTATAAGCCTACCGAAGATGAAAAAGGCACGTCAGCGTAAATGACGGTTCGTATAGGATAGGTTCGAAATATTTTTCTACATTTCTCGGACATTCAGGCCGGCAAGTTATTTAATACTGTTTATTATAAACAGAGCATTTCCTTAAATACTTATATCTATAAAAGAACGTTAAACATAAAAATGTCTTTAATAAATAAATTGTTGGACTTTGTCCATTTCTTAATTCGAAATGAAAAATCGGTCTCCAATGCAAATGAAAGTATTTAAGATAAGAAACTAAATGTATTTACACAAAATACAAAAGGTAATGCTGTTAGTAAATCCAGGAAAGTGGTTAGTATTAATCAAAGATCGCTATATACAGTCTCGAATTTAACTTCCTTAGAGTCGGGGGGCGTACTTTTGTTCTCTTCTCTAATTCTGACTGACTGAGGGTATTTAACGGCAGCAGGTGACTTCAAAAAGGGTGGACCCCATAACATATATATATATATATATATGTTGTGGAATAGCTGAACACCCCCACAAGGAGTTAACGTTTAACTGTTTATTACAGTAGTCTGTGTTCTCAACCGTGTGCTATATTTTTCTCCGGAATAACTTATTTCTTATTTTCTATATGTGTGTCAACCTTTCCTATTTAGGACACAACAATATAGTATTACTTAAATGTTAGTTTTAATGGATACCCTACCCACATTTTAGCAGATGCTCGATTTATTTATTAAACAGTGTATTTATTATCATCAACCGATCAGGTATTATGTACACCATTCAATGTTCAGTTCGACATTCCAACCACCTAAAGAAGGTAGGAGCGTCCAACAGCCGAAACGTTGTGATAAACATGGCGACAAAGATGAGGACAATAGTCCGAATAATGTAAATAATATCATTCGCCATCTTCCGTTTTCTTGAACCCTGTTTCTTTTTTTTTTTTGCCGTTTCCTCAATCCTCCTCATTATTAATCTTTTTATTCTCTTTCAGTTTCACCCCCGGCAACCCCGCGCTTTTTAGTAACATCCTCGCCTTGCTTGGGGGTGAAACGATATAAAAAAAATACAGAGGTTGAGTTATTTTCAAGGGATATTCGGCAAACGGGGTGGGGTGCTGATTAATTATATCTAGAAAGGGAATAGAAAGAGGAGGGGAAACGAGTGGATAACTAAAGAAAAGATAGAAGAAATAGATGAAGGAAGGATAGGTAGAAATGAAGACGAAATTAAAGAGGAAAATGGGGGAGGCGGTAGTTGCTTCCGCCTCCCCCATTTTCCTCTTTACTTTCTTTATTTTTTTTTCTATTAGGTTGTCCCAAAAGTTCGTAAACACTTGCGAAAAATTGAATTTTTATGCAAAACAATCCAGCCCAATCGAGACAAGCGATGGGTTCAGAAAAGGCAAGAGACACCGTCGGTTCCAAAACAAGATCGATTCTGCAAAAGAAAGTCATGTTATGCGTTTGGTGGAACTTTGAAGGAATCGTGCATTTTGAGTTGGTTCCGATGGTCGTGCCATCAGTGCCGAACTTACTGTCAACAACTGGAGCGGGTCTACGAAAAGTTGAAGCAAAAGTACCCGACTCTGATCAACCGAAAGCGCTTTTGATGCAGCAGGACAATGCCAAGCCACAACCCCAAAGAAAAACCAAAGACAAGTTTGAAGAGCTGGACGGCGTTGAGGTTCTGCCACATCCAGCCTACAGTCCTTACTGTGCTCCATCAGATTACGACCTTTTCCGCTCAATGCAACATTTTCTGAAGGGCCGCCGACTCGACTCATTTGATGAAGTCGAGGAAGCGTGTCAAGAATTCTTTGATTCGAAGCCGGCTGAATGGTACTTTCACCAGATCCGAAAGCTTGCAGATTGATGGCAGAAAGTCTTGGAAAATGATGGTCTTTATTTTGAGGAATAATTTTTGTTGCTTTTGTTATTACTTGGCGAGTAAAATTTCAATTTTTTGCTAGTGTTTACCAAATTTTGGGACAACCTCCAGGCTTCCCCTATTTAGAAAAAGAAGACAAAAAGTAGAAGAAGACAGAGAACGAAGAATTCGAGATATAAAAAGTAAAGCTAGTCGAGGGAAAAAAAGATTCATTCAGCTCTCCTCCGCCCTTCGTTCCCTCTATCGGTCCTGTGAGTATCAGATTTTCCAAACCTTCCGTCCTCATTACGTGGCACAGAAATTTCAACTGCTTCTTCTTGATGTTAAGTATAAGTTTCTTTTTTGTTTCCATTCTCTCCAAAACCTCGTTTTTGCTCACATGTTCGGACTGTGGTATCCTCAGCATCCTTCTGTAGAACCACATTTCTTCTTCTAGTCTCTTCATCGTTAAGGGGATTGTCAAGCATTCACTGCCATACAAGAGGACATATATCATGTAACAGTTCCGTAGTCTTTTCTTTGTTTCCAATGAAACCTCTCTCTCTCTCTCTCTCTCTCTCTCTCTCTCTCTCTCTCAGTATGTTGTATCTTCTCTCTCTTCTCTCGTCTTCTCCCAGCCAGTGATCGCTACGCGGTAAAAGACACCAACAAATATAATTTTAAACTTATCTAGTTTATTAACTTCGACATCTTCTCAGTAGGCAGTGGGGTTGATCTATCTCTCTTTCCACTGGGGAGCAGTTACTAGACCATTTCAAGTTCAATTTGGGTCTAATCAAAGTGATTTGGAGACTAAGCAAATTCAAAATGAAATAGCCAACTTCAAAATGGGACGTAGCAAATTCAAAAAATGAAATCAAAAGCCAAGTTCAGAATGGGACGTAAAAATTTAAATGAAATAGCCAAGTTCAGAATGGGACGTAGCAAATTTAAAATGAAATAGCCAAGTTCAGAATGGGATGTAGCAAATTCAAAATGAAATAAGTTCAGAATCTAACAAATCAAAGTGAAATATCCAATTCAAATTGAAATAGCAAAGTTCAGAATGGGACATAGCAAATTTAAATGATAATATCCAAGTTCAGAATGGGACGTAGCAAATTTAAAATGAAATAGCCAAGTTCAGAATGGGACGTAGCAAATTTAAAATGAAATAACAAGTTCAGAATGGGACATAGCAAATTCAAAATGAAATATCCAAGTTCAGAATGGGACGTAATAAAATTTAAAATGGGACGTAGAATAACAAAAAAATATCAAGTTCAGAATGGGACGTAGCAAATTCAAAATGAAATAGCCAAGTTCAGAATGGGACATAGCAAATTCAAAATGAAATAGCCAAGTCTAGAATCGGACGTAGCAAATTCAAAATGAAATAGCCAAGTTCAGAATGGGATGTAGCTAATTCAAAATGTAATAGCTAATTTCAGAATGGGATGTTGCAAATTCAAAATGTAATAGCCAAGTTCAGAATGGGACGTAGCAAATTTAAAATGAAATAAGCAAGTCTGATTTGGAACGAAGCAAATTCATAATGAAATAAGCAAGTTTGAATTGGAACTAAGCAGATTCATTCTGGAAAAATATTTCAAACTTATCTGCGCGTTTCAATAAACAAATATCATGGATTAAACAATCAACTGGGGGGAGGGTACATCAGTTAAGTAAAAATCGGAGCGCAGTGTTGCGTAGATTTTGGTATCAATTCCTTACAAGAGGCTATTCTTGAAAGGATAAATTTGTGTCACAGAGTTTTTAGCATTTTCATCGGTAAGACAATCAGGAAGAATTGAAGAAAGAAAGAGATGGATAGACTGTATATAGTGTGAAAAAAGAGAGCATAAGAGAGAGAGTTATTCAAAATGAAATGATTTGAAGGACAACAGGGCAAATCTCGAAGGCCCAAGAAAAAGCAGGAATGAAATACTGAATGCATATATCAAAACAGAGTTTGAAAAAAGATAGGCATAATGAGAGATTTTAAGCACTGAATGTTGCATCCAAAAATATACACCTTTCATGAATTCCTTTGATTTATTGATTGTTCTGAGAAGATAAAACATTTCAATTGTAAAGTTTAGTTGAACATTATTATTTTATCATGAAATTATTTAATTTTAAAGTCTTTTTTAGCAAAATAATTGCTCAGTCCCAGATTGAATTTGCCTAATCCCATTTTGAACTTGCTAAGTCCTAAATCAAATTTGCTTATTCCATTTTGAATTTGGTTATTTCATTTTGATTTGCTATGTCCCAATCTAAATTTCACCATCCCATTTGGAATTTGACTATTCCATTTTGAACTTGGCTATTTCATTGTGAACTTGCTTAGTCTCAAAATGACTTTAATTAATCCCAAATTGAACTTAAAATGGTATAGACACCAAGGGAACACGTCTACATTCCTTGATGGTTAAGAGTCAATACCTGCAAAACGCTTTCTCTGTATTTATCATTCCCACGCTGACTCAGTCAATCAAAATCAACATCGTTCTTAACCCCAGGAAGTCGGAGCAGAGATACATTTCCTCTAATAAAAAGTAATAATCTGTTAAACTATTATTTAACAAATCGATTGCCTAGCTTTTTGGAATCCCAGTGTCTAATAGGGATTCGTCCTTATTGTCTCATTTTCCATCTTTTATTAGAACACTTCCCAGATGGTTAATGTCACTCAAGCCTAAACGTAAATGTTTGTATGTGGTTGCTATCAGCAAGAGTTTATGGACCTATCTTCATTGATGGACACATTACAAATGAAAACTGCTTGAACAGATTGGACCATTGATTTTTTTCATTCACAGCTTTCCATCCAGTCGCGTCGTAGCGTGTCTATCAATACTGTATTGTGATTTTTTTTTAAATCATTATTTCACCCCGACCAAGCAAAGCGACATTTCCACAAGGGGAGTCAGGGAGGGAAAGATGAGGAGAAGACTTTAACGGGGAGAAACGAGGAAAAAGGACAAAAAAAAAGAAAAAAAAAGAACGGGGTATTTACTGGTTTTAAATAATCTGTCAAAGGTTGATAAGCTGTAACAATAAAATCAAGTAATATCTTTTCGACTTAAACCTGACCTATATCAAACGTTTTAACTTTAGAGTAAACGAAAACTTTTTCTACCTTTTATATTCTAGTTTAAACCGTAATTCTGATTACCTGCCTCTTAACTGACTGTAGTTTTATCTTATAACTAGCAGTATAACCCGCCTTCGACCGGATGTTTCATTACTGGGAAATTTTGTCGTTCACTTGAAGCAGTTTAAATTTAAAGTTATCCTACCCAAAAATCAATATTAGCAACAACAATTGGGTGCAACTGCAGCACATCCTTAAATGGGGGGTTAACAACCTGAATGGGGAGGTGGCCTTCAAAAGGACCGTTTTTGCGTTCTCAATCTTTCAAGGAAGGAACCTCGTCCATGGACCGTCATTATAATAATATACGATAATCTTTTGATAATATATTTTTTAAATAATTCTAATAATCTTTTGCGTTAGATTACAACAACCTAAATTGATTGTACGCTGTTTTTACACACATTAAATTTTGCCTTTGATTTTTGAGCAATGTGTAAAAAATCCGTTTTTTCGATTTTTCATCTTCAAGGTTGTAATTTTTTCCAGCCAATTTGGACTCAAAACCGCAAACTGAAGAATTATCTATCAAACAAAATAAATTTCATCGAAATCGGATGAAAGCTGTGGAAATGCATAAAAAACATCCGATCATACACACACACACATACATACACACACACATTTTGATAATTATAGATATAGATATTTTTTTATATATTTAACTGTATAATAATAATAATATTATTGTAATAATTTAAACTACTTATTTTTATTAAAGTTTTTTATGAAAGATATATATCCAAGAACAAATAGTAAATAATAAAACGTTGCTGAGAATTATAATGGAGAGGAATTAGTGGAGAGCCATTGTCGCCATCAATTTGAACTCAAAAACGGCACTGAAGAAATATCTATCAAACAAAAAATTTCATCGAAATCGGTTGAAAACTGTGGAAATGCATAAAAAACATTCGATCACACACACACACACACACACATATATATATATATATATATATATATATATACACACACACATTTGAAGCTTATAGATACTAGCAGTATAACCTGTCTTCGACAGGGCGTTTCATTATTGGGAATGTTTGCCGCTCACTTGGAGCAGTTTAAATTTAAAGTCAGCCCACTCGAAAATCAATACTAGTAACAACAATTGCATGCAACTAAGGCACATCCCCAAATGGGGGGGTAACAATTTGAATCGGGAGGTGGCCGTTTTTGCCTTCTCAATCTTGCAAGGAAGGAACCTTTTCCATCGACCGCCATAATAATAATATACGATAATTTTTATTTATGATATAATGTTTTTTGTTTTTTTTTTCATAATTCTAATAATCTTTTGAGTTCGATTTCAACTCTCTAAAATTGATTGTCGTTAACTGTTTTTTTGCAGACTGATAAATTTTGCGATTTGATTTTTTGCCAATTAAAAAAAATCAAGGTCCTTTTTTTTTCGATTTTTCATCTTCAAGGTTGTAATTTTTTCCAGCTAATTTGGACTCAAAACCGACACTGGAGAATTATTTTTCAAACACAAAAAGCATTCATCGAAATCGGATGAAAACTCTGGAAACACATAAACAACATCCGAACACACACACGCACATACATACAAATACACCTTGAGAATAGAATAGATAGATAGATAGATAGATAGATAGATAGATAGATAGATAGATAGATAGATAATGAAGAAATACGTTTAATAGTAGATAGATGAATAGATAGATATAGATATAGATAGATGATATGAATATATATATAGTAGATGGAAATAGATAGATAGATAGATAGATAGATAGATAGATAGATATGATAGAGAATTGTATTTGATGAAACGTTTAATGGAACTTAACGTGGTCTTTCATATGTCGTTAAATAAACAAGCCATCATTCTGAGTGTGTGTGTGTGTTTTTTATTTTTTCATTCTGTTTTTCATTAAGTTTAAACTAGCCATCATTAGGGTGCAGCTGATTTCAATTTCACCCAAGGGGATGTGAAAGAGAACTATTTATAAAAAACTTATTCTTTTATTGAGGAGAAGCAAAGGAAAGGGACAATAAAGAAACAGAGTTCATGAAAAATATTTTCTTGTTATAAACCCGACCAATATTTACCTGGAAACACGTGCATAAAACTGCAATGTTTACTTAGCTCAGTTTTTTTCCCAATGTGCAAGTTAAAGATCCCTTCCCTTCACTTCCCTCCTCTCACCGTTGTAGGCTCCGTTATGCTGAAACGGGACATTGGGATTTTATTTATTTATTTTGGAGGTGGAGGCGAACATGCTCAATGTGGAGGATATTCAACTCTTTTTTTTTTTTTTTTTTAAATTTTCAAAATTTATTCAATAATGGTGTTCCTGACATATTGTCTGTTTTGTTCCATCTAGTTTATCACCCCTTGTTCATCTTCCAAAATAACCCTATATTTAGCAGGGTACCCTTTTAAGTTAAGAACCATCGAATCGCTTACTGTTTCATTCTTACAATGCCGGTTCGGCGGTAGACATTTTATTTTTATTTTATTTTTATTTTTATTTATAGTTCAAGCGAATTGACGGCATACTTCCCTTCTATGGCTGGATGTGGTTTCACAGTCACACGAGACAAAGAAACCTCTTTCAAATTATAAAACGAGATCTACAATTACTTCTAAGCAGCATGGAACTTAGAATAATTTAATCTGACCGCGAGAGGGGGTACGTTGACAAATGTCTGTGCCCAAAGTGGGCAGTGGTTAAAAAAAAAGATTGGGAAACACTGACGTACCTGAGTAAAAGAAGAGATTTCAGCATTAAAAAATCCAACAAGTTTTGTGTTATACTCCGTGCTAATAGGAATATATACTTGAAAAAACAAGGTGGATAAAATAAGTAATGGTTTATTGTAAAAAAAAAACAGTACAATAAGAATAAAGGTAACAGTTATGCACAAGAGCTGAGTAACAGATCCCAGCTAGTCAATATTTACTAGTCTCCCCACGAGGTACGATCAAAGGCCGGCGAAGAGTTTGACAACAGCCAAGATCTGAGTAACAGATCAAATACTTGGAATATTTGTCAATCCCCCACAGGATAGGATGTGGCACAAGGCCGATTAATATTGGGGCAATTATTTGTTCAGGCTCGGCCAATTTCTGTAAACCCTTATTCTTCGGGTTATTTGTTCTAGCTCCCCGGACGAGAGTCTGCCCTTCGGCATTGCCTTTGTTTGGTTCCTCTCTGCTCTGGCGCAGAAGTTTATTCTTTACTAAGATTGAGTAACATATTCCAGCTGCTATATTTACTAACCTCCCCATGCGATCAGATGTGGCACAAGGCCGGGTTTAATGTGGGGCATTTGAGCCCGTAGGCTCAGCCAGAAATTCCCGTATAAATATATATAAAACGGGGTCGGGTAGCTGTTTCCCGAGAAGAGACTCCGCCCTTCGGCATAGCTTCGTCTGGGGATCCTCTCTGCTCGGAGGCAGAGAGTTTGACCAGCACAGCTGGAACAAATCCCAGCTAGTCAATATTTAAGAGCCCCCACCCACGAGGGTTGATATGGCACAAGGAACAGATCTCAGCTAGTAGGTATTATCTAGCCCCCACCCAACTAGAGTAGATGTGGCACAAGGCCGAGTTTAACGTGGGTCTTCCGAGCCCGTAGGCTCGGCCAGAAATATTCACTTTCGAGCCCGTATAAACGGGTTCAGGGTCAGCTCTTCGGCTGAGGCTCGTCCGGGTTCCTCTCTGCTCAGAGGCACAGAGTTCGACCGTCTAACCGAAAAGATTTCGGGTAGACGATATTTAGCTAAACGAGGGTTGCATATGGCACAAGGCCGGGTTTAACGTGGGCTAAAAAATGCCCATAGAACCCGTATAAACGGGATCGGTTTGGTCAACCTCACCGAACGAGACTCTGTCCTTCGGCGGAACCTCGTCCGGGTTCCTCTCTGCTCAGAGGCAGAGAGTTCAACCGTCTAGCCGAAAAGATTTCTGGTAGACTCTGTAGTCCTTTGACTTGTAGCTACTTATAAGTAGTTACTACCTATAATGTAGTCACTCATGCGGGTGACAGGTTATTCCATTGCATTATTTTGGTATGCAAAATCTGCCTTCTTCAGACTCCAAGGGAATCGAAATTAATAATCAGAAATTGTCTGCTGGAATCTCTGAGACACGAAAATAAGGAAAGAAAGTTTGAAGAATTTAAAATACACCGAATATAGTGAAGGCAAGAGAAGAAGATCGAAAGCAGCGACTAACCTATTTAACGAACTTGAGTAAATTGATGGAAGAACAAGGAATAGGAATGGTGGCAAAGCGTTAAAAGTTACTTAGAGCAACAAAAGACAGGATGGAGAGCCGTTAGTGTCCACGTCCTGAAAGAACATTGGCACATAATAGAAATATATGGATTGAAGAACAAGGACTAAGAGAGATTCTAAAGGAATAAAAGTTACTTAGAGCAACAAAAGACAGGAAGCCAAGGAGAGCCGTTAGTGTCCACGTCCTGAAAGAACATTGGCACATAATAGAAATATATGGATTGAAGAACAAGGACTAAGAGAGATTCTAAAGGATTAAAAGGTACTTAGAGCAACAAAAGACAGGAAGTCGTGGGGGGCGGTGATCGTCTTCATATCAGTAGAAGAACAAGGATAAAGAAGGATGGCAATGATTCAAAAGTTACTTAGACAATAAAAAAAACCAAGAAGTGGAGAGCCGTTATCGTCCAAGTCCTGAAAAGAAAAGGACAATAAAAGAACAGAATTCAGAAAAACATGGCGATTGACGTTATATTTAAATTTTTGAAGATTGTAAATGACAGGGAAGCAAGAAATAGGAAGGGATTCCCACATGTGAGAAGTGCGAGAAGACACTATTAGAATAGAACAGAAGTTACTAAAACATTGGATAATTTATATTTAGATATGCACCAGAAACCATCTTGTATACATTAGCGTATCAATATAGACAGATGCACATAAATTCAAACAATAATAAATAAGTATTTAATTATAAATCTTACCTCCGACAAATAATAGATATGATACCACCAAACCAAATAAGAAAACGAAATAACAGCCTGATGAAGATATATAAGCATATATATATATATATATATATATATATATATATATATATATATATATATATATATATATATATATATATATATATATATATATATATATATTATTAGTAGTAGTAGTAGTAATAATCTTATAAGTATAAGAAATTATACTCGACGGAAAACCTTCGGTGTCTTGATTTGCAAATAATCAAACCAATACCAAATGGAAAAAAGGTATAAAAAAAAAAAAAAACCAGAACATGTACGTCAGCCGCCAATAATCGTCCAGCATGAATAATATATTATTAATAATATATCATTTTATATTATTTTATTTTTTCATTCTTTTTACCTTATCTATCTATCTATATATATATATATATATATATATATATATATATATATATATATATATATTAATTTATTTACCTATATATATATAAAATATAAGAAAGAACAAAAAGAACATGTACGTTAGCAGAAAAATAATCGTCTAGCATGCAAGTCCAAAGCCCAAAGGAAAAAAACCCAATACGAGTAAGCAAAATAACTAAATAAAGTGCTCAATACGGTAAGTAGAGCAGACCTAGTTAAACCTAGAGAGCCAGACAAACCTACCAAGATTTCACCTAAGCGGATCGTCAGAGAAGGCCGGCTAAAAAGGTAACAAAAGAACGGACTATTTATAGTCAATAAACAAAAAAAATCATAACCACGTGACCAAAACAAAAAGGACCATATATATATATATATATATATATATATATATATATATATATATGTATATGTCAAATATGTGGTGCAGTTTAATTTATATTACAATGAATCATTCATACAAAAAGTAAATTAGTAAAGTTAATGATATAAAATGGCGAAATCCCTTCTAAATTTTAAAGATACATTAACCTACCAATCATTCGATAAATGTTATAATCCTTATTTTTTAAAATTATAAACTGTATTAGGTTAAATACGCAAGTACTTTGTTTTCTCTTATTTTTCATTATTTCTTTGTTTTCCTTAGTCATTTCATTCCTTAAACATTGCAATCATTTTCTTTCCCTTCTCTAATTTACATTTCTTCTTCTTCTTCTTCTTCTTCTTCTTCTTCTTCTTCTTCTTCTTTTCTATTTGGCGTTTGTTTTTCATTTTTGACCATTTTTCTTTCCTTCTTTTCTTTCTTTATTTCTTTCGTTCTCTTTCATTTTTGCATTTCTTTCTTTCATTTTTTTTCTTTCTTTTCTTCTTTGTGTTCTTCTAAATTTCTTTATTCTTTTTTTTTTTTTTTGGTGGATGGTTCTTGAATATTTCACTTTTTCTTCCCACATACTTTTTTTTTTTTACTTTTGACTCTTTTGTTTTCTTTCCTTGTTTTCTTCGATTCATATCTTTTTTTCTTTCTTACTTAAATCCTTCCTTTTTTCTTTTTCTTTCTTTTATTTTTTATCGCTTTCTTTCAACACTCATGTTCATTTTCCTTGCCCACTTTTCTTTCTTTCTTATTTTTCTTTCTTTCTTTCTTTCTTTCTTTCTTTCTTTCTTTCTTTCCACTTCCGTCAAACTCTTTCGTATATTACTTAATTTCTTCCTCTCTTCCTCACATTTCTTCCTATTAATTTCTTTCAGCACTTCTTCTTCTTCTTCCTTTATCTTCGCATTCATGTTCCCCACTTTTTCTTCATTCATTTGCTTCCCTTCCTTCTCGTCCGTTTTCCTTGTTACTATTTCACTTTCTCCGTTTGCATTCTTTTTTCTTTCTTTCTTTCTTTCTTTCTTTACTTCTCTCCGTTTGCATTCTTTTTTCTTTCTTTCTTTACTTCTCTCCGTTTGCATTCTTTCTTTCTTTCTTTCTTTCTTTCATTCTTTCTTTTCTTCTCTCCGTTTGCATTCTTTTTTCTTTCTTTCTTTCTTTCTTTCTTTACTTCTCTCCGTTTGCATTCTTTCTTTCTTTCTTTCTTTCTTTCTTTATTTCTCTCCGTTTGCATTCTTTTTTCTTTCTTTCTTTACTTCTCTCCGTTTTGCATTCTTTCTTTCTTTCTTTTCTTTCTTTCATTCTTTCTTTTCTTCTCTCCG